CCCGTAGTTAGGCGAACTACGTTGACTCTGATTTCTCGTTCCAGACGGGAATACGTAGGCATAAAGTGCGATGCTTTGTCGAGTCATCTTTTCTTTTCTTTTCAGACTTCATCCTCTAGTTTAGATAGAAGTGTAATCCGTACAAACCAAGCAAGCGTGGATCCCATCGAGTACGATGGACGTGAGGGGTGCTAATACCTTCCCCTTGCGTAACTGACTCCCGAATCCAGGTTTTGGTTGTGACGACCATACCTTTCCCGTTTTACGAGGTTTACTTCGAGCGTTTCCTTTCCCTCCGTTGGGATAAATAACGCACGGTGGCGACTCTTCTGTATTGTCGGCGCCGATTTTCGCAGTAGCGACAGTCTCCATCTGGTAGGCAGACTTCTGATGATTTTCTTTACGTGATCTGATCTAGAGTATCCCTTTTCCAGAACTTTCAGCCCAGCTGTGAGTATCTGAAATCTGGAGAACATGGCTTCAACAGATTCAGAGTCTTCCATTTTGAAGGCCTCATACTTCTGGATCAGAGCCAGAGCTTTTGTCTCCTTAACTTGAGAATTTCCCTCATGAGTCATTTTTAGGGATTCAAACATATCAAAAGCAGTTTCCCTGTTTGTAATTTTTTCATACTCAGTATGTGAAATTTCATTCAATAATATAGTCCTGGCTTTGTGATGATTTCTAAAATCTTTCTTTTGAGCATCTGTCATAGATTTTCTGTCAATCTTCTTTCCATTCCCATCTGTGGGATGGACATATCCATCTATGACTAGATCCCATAGATCAACATCATATCCTAGGAAAAAACTCTCAATTCTGTCTTTCCAGTAGTCAAATTTCTCCCCATCAAACATAGGGGGTTTGGTGCTGATCCTGTCCCTTTCTTCATATTTATTGTTAATATTGGATACTGAATTATCAGCCATTGTAACAAATAAATGTATATCAAAGTATTTCTCTCTGGATCTTTACTGACACTGTTAAGTGGTAGCACACACAGAACCGGAGCTCTGATGCCAACTGAAGGTGAGATGATACTTAGAAGGGAGGGGGGGGGGTTGAATAAGTATGAAAGATTAAGACATTAAAAATAATAACACAATTATTTTTATCCTGGTTCGTTGAAATCAACTACTCCAGTCCACCCTTCCTAGAGTGATTTGCCTTTCTCAACAAGGACTTAATCCATTATTTAATCAAACAGATTACAATAGTAACACCTAAGAACAACTGTTCTTAGTCTTCTCAAGAGCTACTGATTCCAACTGAATCCTCTTAAGGAAAACCTTTACAATCAATGTAAATCAAATACAAGAGTATGATTGCTTCTAAAAAGCTTTTATCACAACAATGATTTTTCTCTTAAATTTAAGTACAAATAATTCTAAGAAGAATATGAAAGAATGAGAGCTTTGAATAATATGATTTCTTTTCAGCAAATTGTGTGACTGAAGAATTTGACGGAGTCTTCCTTTTATAGGCAGCTGATCCAAGGAAGCTGAGCGTTGAGAAGAGAGTCCCAGAAAGGTCTGAGCCTTTTTGTCTTTACATCAAGTGACCTTTCCTAGAAGTAGAAGGCACAGAAAAATACTTTTTGTCCGTGTTCTTGTGTCTAGCACAAATGAGGAAAGAGACGTTTGATTTACTCCAACGGATATAATATTTGAATATTTCTTCTTCAGTTTTCAGCAAGTTCTTCAGAGTCTGAATGAGTCAGAGTCTTCTAATGATGTTTAGAACCTTGCTGTACCAGAGTCTTCTGCAGCATGTGTGCTTTCAGCGTGTTGATTATCAGAGCATATTTGTCACAGAATTTCAGTACTTGGCAGCTTTAGTACTTTCAGAAACTTCTGTAGAAACTATGCTTTGAGAAACTCTTCATACAATATTCTTCTAAGCTTTAGATGCTTCTGACTAGCTTCAAATGCTTCTGCTTCAGAATCTTCTGGAGCTTCTTGCTTTAGATCCTTCTGGAGACTACGCTCAGGATCTTCTGTAAACAGCAATCAGAATCTTCTAATGAATGCATCTGGCGCTTCAGAGTCTAGATAACTTCTTGTATACAATTCAGATTTGCTTCTAGAGAGTTAATTTCATTTCAATCTGCAGTAAAACTCTCAAACAAATTTTAGAGTGTATAATTCTTAAATATAAAATTTCCTAATAGTTATCATCAAAACAAAGAGATATTATTAAGAACCAATCTGTGTTCTAACAAACTGGACTATTTTCTGGGATAGAAGTCACTCATCTACCTAATGGCTCCTTGCTTCTCTCTCAAACAAAATACATCAGCGACCGGTTAGCCAAAGTTAACATGACTAATGCAAACAGCATGCCCACTCCAATGGTGTCCAACAACAAACTGTCCAAAGTTGGTTCCAATGAAATTTCTGATCCCTCTCAGTTCAGGTCTGTTGTTGGTGCTTTGCAATATGCAACCTTAACAAGACCTGAAATTTCTTTTTCTGTGAATAAGGTCTGTCAGTTTCTGTCCAATCTATTGGAGGAACATTGGAAAGCTGTCAAAAGGATATTGAGGTATTTGAGTGGCACTCTTCATCATGGGCTTCTCATTCAGCCTGCACCTGCTCATCAGCCTTTGACTTTGCTTGGTTTCTGTGATGCGGATTGGACATCAGATCTAGATGACAGACGGACAACCTCAGGGGCATGTGTTTTTCTTTGGCCTAATGTTGTATCTTGGTGGTCTAAAAAGCAACAACTAGTAGCCAGATCCAGTGCAGAGGCAGAGTATCAAAGCATGACTCAACTTGCTACTGAACTACTTTGGGTTCAGTCTCTACTTAAGGAATTGCACTGCCACTTTCAGACTCCAAAGATATTATGTGACAATCTGAGCACAGTTACTCTAGCACATAACCCTATCCTTCATAATAGGACCAAACATATGGAGTTAGATATCTTCTTTGTGAGATAGAAGGTTCTAAACAAGAGACTTGTTGTAGCTCGTGTTCCAGCTCAAGATCAGTGGGCAGATGCCTTAACTAAACCTTTATTTGTAGTGAAGTTTCTTCCTCTTCGTGATAAGCTAAAAGTGTTCAACAAACAAAGTTTGATAAGTACACCCTCCACTTCTAAAAGCATCTTTAGTGCAGGTTCTGTAGTATTAAATTCTTTAATAGTAACGGTAGTTATAAACAGTTTGCATTGGAATAAGAATGACATGGCACTAAGTGAACTAACAATTAGTTTTTGGCAACTATATAACCAATGCACACTATCAAATTTCAATGACTCTAATTATTATTTTATATTATTAAAATATCAATAAAGCTCCAACAACTCTAATTCAACGGCTATGTATTTTTTCAAGTTTTGGTTTTTTACAAGCAACCATCATTAAAGTAAAAACAACTCAAATCAACTATAAATATTTTAAATCCTACAAATCACTTTGCGCCCACAAAAAGTATCTTAGTTTATCCATTTAATTTACTCCCACTAAAGATGCTCTAAGGGGGAATGATAGAGTTAGTAAGCTAGTTAGTTTTTTGTTTCCGATATATTGTTGAGCTGCAAACTAGTTAGTTACAGTTTCTGTTAGGTTTCTGTTGTAACCAACTCTCTAAAAGCTTCTATTGTAATTAACTAAAGTCTCCATTGTAACTAACTCTCTATATAATGAGAGTTCATTGTATCTCAATCATTATGGAATACAATAAGAATTTCCTAACTGTTTTCTCTAATTGCATTATGCATGAACTTAAATTTTGTAGCTTTAGAGTTTAAACATAATTTTTACATGGAAATTTAATGTTCAACTCACTTCGACATAATTTTATCCTAACATAAATCACTTTACCATCATCTAAAATCGATTTTATAGAATCAATTCATTCAAAATCAATTCATTGAAAATTGATTCTAACTTGAAGTTAATATTTATAGCTTTTGCCTCAAAAAATCATTTTTACGGACAATTTTATTATTCAACTAACTTGAACCTTTATAATCATTAATCAATCACAGTGGCCAATTTTGGCGCAATTACAGTGGCAGATTTTGGAGCCTCACCAAAATCACGGTGCCGCTGCGATTTTGTCAAACTCAGTGTCAATCCAAACATACACTTTTCATGTTATATAGTCATAACTTACACATCATGAGTCTGGTTTAATTAACCGGGATTTGAATGTTTTAAAATTTCCAGTGCTTCAACTTGCCCGGCAGAAAACAAACATGTCAACCCTCCATTCTTGTGTTCTGCACCTATCAAGGTTCAAGTGCCACATTATCCTTTGTAGCTTAAGAAGATTTGAAAATTTTAAATGTTTGATATTATTAACCTGTCCCTTTTATGTTTTTTGTTTCAGTTTCAGTATGCCAATTTCTCCAGTAACAGTTACAAAAACACGGGGAAAGGTACCTTGAAACTTCAGTTGATTAATCAGCGATCTGATTTCTCATTTGCTCTCTTCACCGGTGGATTAACAAATGTATTCTCTCTTAAACTCTACCCCGTAATTTCATTCTTTATTAGATTAATTGTGCATATTAACTTTGAGTCCAATGTTATAGATTTTTTTTCTTCTGAATTTTATCTTTCTATTTCTCAATTTTTCTTGAACTATTTGACAGCCAAAGCTCGTTGCAGTGTCAAATAAAATATCCTTCATCAATCCAAATGCTCCGGTATATCCTAGATTAGCACAAGGGAAAACATGGGATGAAGTAATTTTAATATCCCCTTTTTGATATTGAGTATGCATTTTCTTTTTCCAGCTCGGTTTGAAATCTTTTGTTATCCATCAGTAAATGCACTTATAAATAAATGTATGTGTGTGCTTGTACAAGTGTGAATAAGGAATATCTGGGATTATTAAAAGTTTGCTTTCTCCAATTTGTAACAGATTACTGTAACATGGACAAGCGGATATGGGATCAGCGATGCTGAGCCTTTTGTTGAATGGGGTTGAAAAGAAGGGAAACTTGTACAATCTCCTGCTGGGACACTGACTTTTTATCGCAACACCATGTGTGGTAGGCAACTCTTTTGTCATTTTATTGTGACAATTTTTTTACCCGTGTTTGAGTCTTGACAATATTGACATTTGTAAAATATGTAACTGTTAGTTTCATTCAGTGAGGAGAGAGTAAAACTTTACAACATAATGGATCTCATTCATCTATTATACACACACATATATATATATATATATATATATATATATATATATATATATATATATATATATATATATATATATATATATATATATATATATATATAGGTGCACCAGCAAGAACTGTTGGGTGGCGCGACCCAGGATACATACACACTAGTTTCCTGAAGGAGTTGTGGCCTAACAAAGAGTATGTTGTAGTTTATATGTTTACCATGACATTACTTGCATTGAAACTATAGCTGATTTGAATTATTCCGTTTTATCAAATCAAACTCAAGTTAATTGAATACTCCTTCCGGTCTCTATTATATGCAACAATTCTTTTTTTTAGATTCACTGAATAACTGTCGTATGTGATCTCTCAGTAGACTAGATACATTGGTTATTCAATGAACTTAGAAAGAGAATCTTTGCTTATAATAGTGACCGGAAGGAGTATTTATTTTTACCACATTAACTTAAACTAGCATAAACATATAAAGCAACTCGATTGCAATGAAGAGAGAAAATTGGATTTGGTTGCATATCTCCACACATCTTAACTAATATGATTAAAAGGATACTAAACACTTTTATTAATACTGGATTTAGCAAACTCAATTTTCACCATTATATGACCTGACAAACTTTTTTGAAAACAATGTGATAAAAGTTGCTTAAGCATGTTTTCCTCTATTCCACGACCCATGGGAGGAACTTTCTCATCTGCCTCAACTTTTCCTCTATCTTGAGTGATGCCTTGTTTCACAGAAAATGGTCTTCGCAAACTCCTACCACTATTCTGTCTCGCTGTTACTCATTACCTGCCATTAATTCATCTGATTTTTCTTCTGGCTCTATTGGATCATATTTACACTTTCCTCTTTGCTTTGCTTTCAATTCCAAGATTCCTATTTTTACCAACTCTTGCTCCCTTTCTTTATCAATTTCGGCCTTCCGCGCCTTTTCAGCTTTTCCACACCATTTTACTTTGTACTTGTGGTTCAAATATTGACTGGTGGTAGGTGAATAAAGAAACATGTTGAGATTTTATTAGCAGCAGCCGGCAGTTAAGTGTAAATGATCCCTCAGCTTGCAATTTTGTTTTCCGTACTTGCAGGTACACATACAAGCTGGGGCATAGATTAGTTAATGGCACAACAGTTTGGAGTCGAGAATATCAGTTTAAATCATCTCCTTATCCTGGTCAAAATTCTGTACAACGCGTGGTTATATTCGGTGATATGGGAAAGGTAAATATTCTTTATTTCTTTTTTCTCATGGACGATCTAATTCTAACAATGTCCGTAACTCTGAAAATACAATTGAAATAAATGTCTATACATATATGCATAAGCTTAAACAAACGAGCACTTAAATCTGCTTCATATGAAAATCTCTTCAAACAATCACTTTTATTAAACTGGCATCTTAACTTTTCATTTTATTTTGGGATGAGCAGGCAGAAGCTGATGGCTCCAATGAGTATAACAATTTCCAGCCGGGTTCACTCAATACAACGAGTCAGATTATTCAAGACTTGAAGGACATAGATGTAGTCTTCCACATTGGTGATTTATGCTATGCTAATGGATACCTTTCACAATGGGACCAATTTACTGCACAGATTGAGCCAATTGCATCAAGAGTTCCTTATATGACTGCAAGGTTTGCCGTGTTACACATTGTGTTGATTTTTGTATGTATAACGTTCCATTTCGTTATCTGATTTGTTTTGCCATATATGCTTTTAGTGGCAATCACGAACGTGATTGGCCAGAAAGTGGATCATTTTATGGGACCTTGGATTCAGGTGGTGAATGTGGCGTGCTTGCTCAAACCATGTTTTATGTTCCTGCTGAGAATCGGGAAAAATTCTGGTAGAATGTCCTATAAGCTTAACCTTTTTTTTTATTGAAAATGCCCTATCATTTTAATATCATCTTGAGCATACAGACGTTAGCGATTATGATTCCAGTAAAATAACTTGAAAATCACCATACATTTCCAGGTACTCTGTTGACTATGGCATGTTTAGATTCTGCATAGCTCACACGGAACTTGATTGGAGAAAAGGAACAGAGCAATATGAGTTCATCGAAAAGTGCCTAGCATCCGCTGACAGACAGAAACAGCCATGGTTGATATTCCTTGCACATAGGGTACTTGGTTATTCTTCTGCGGATTTCTATGTTGCAGAAGGCACGTTTGAAGAACCAATGGGAAGGGAGGACCTTCAAAGTCTATGGCAAAAGTATAAGGTCGACATAGCCATGTATGGACATGTCCATAACTATGAAAGAACATGCCCAATCTATCAGGTATTTCTCTTAACTTGTCTACCCGTTATTGTTTGATTTTCTCATTTGACATGTAACTCAACTGTCATTATTTCTTCCTCCAGAATATATGCACAGATCAAGAGAAGCACAACTATAAGGGCTCGTTGAACGGGACGATACATGTAGTGGTTGGGGGAGGAGGAGCGGCTTTAGCTGACTTTGCCCCCATAAACACCAAATGGAGTATCTTTAAAGACCATGAGCTTGGATTTGTGAAACTCACAGCATTTGATCATTCAAATTTGTTGTTAGAGTACAAGAAGAGTAGTGATGGACAAGTTTATGACTCTTTTAAGATATCAAGGGATTATAGGGACATCTTGGCTTGCACTGTTGATAGTTGCCAAAGTACAACATTAGCATCTTGATCAAAAAGCAAAAAACAATGTTGATTTTGTTTCCTTTTTTTATTTTTTTTATTTTTTATAATTTGGTTGAATAAAATGCTTCTTATGATCACACAATGACATGAACAGTAAAAATTGTAAGTACAACAAGAGAATATTATAGAATTGTTTATACTCTATGCAATTATTTAGTCTAAATTGACTGTTATGAATTTGAAAATACTCTCTTGGTGCAAATTAAATGAGCTCTAGCGCAGATGGGATGTGCTTTCAGCGCACAACATGCAATATTCGTGTTGTATGGTGTTTTTCGCCGTTTCATATGTAGATCAACAACAAAGTCTTTTCTCACTAAGTTGGATTGCTACATGGGTCAATTTTTGTCATAATATTATGTAGTGTTATATTTGTGATTCCTAAACAATGGTGGTATCCAGTCAGAACAAGGGGCTCGTCCATGAAATTGATGACATATATGATAATGTTGCATTCTCTTAGTCAACAGCAAAGAAGTCCACTATGATTCCTTGAAAAATAGGTGGTCAACAACTTGCTCTAGTCATAAGGGAGCGGTTTCTGCCGCTCAGAGTTTCCTAACCCTAGGCCCAAAAGGTTTATATAAATACCTCTCTCCTAACGAGAGAAAGAGACATATCTTAACTACTACAGATCCACCATACATACGCTTATACCTACGCAGTCTACACAAATATATAACCTATCATCTCACGTGAGTTGGTCCATAAAACACCACAGTATAGAATTTCTCGCTGCTGCGAGCAAGTCCTAACCACAGTACAACGTAATATACCTACTAAGACGTCTGCCTTTTACAAGGATAACATGCACACTTGTACTTTTTGATCGGTACATATTCTATTCATGACCATGCTTCTATCCAATATGCTCACAGTTTCTTACATATATAATAATAATTAGTAGAAATAAGACAAACAGACAGCACAAGTTACATCACAACATCTTTTCACCATTTTAGATTTTGAATTGGATTGATGTGTGTTTCGTCCTGAAACCAGAATTATTGTTTATTGATGATGATTGACTTCTAATACGATGATGCAGATCTTTGATACAGAAGTGTGGGGTGGACATGCAAGATATTATAGAGTGTATCTTAAGTCTCACGTGTGTCAATTATATATGATGGATGATTTTATTTTGGTTTTGCATTATTGGGCTTGATATTTGGATCTTACCCGTAATAGACCATTGGCCAGCCCGACACAAGGTGTATTTGTGAATTTGCAGGTTTGAATCTTAGTTTTTATTTAAAGTCGATTTGACTAGATTTTTTCACCTATGTACTAAATGTAACACCCCATTTGAATTATTAGTCTTTTTATACTTTATTGTGTGCGTATTGGTTGTGATGTCCTTGATTAAGGGTATGAGGTTAGGGCGAGATTGAGAGCTGACCTTAGTTAGGGATAATGTGGACCTAGAATAATGGATAATTTAATAACAAAATTAAGAGCATTATGATCATTAATATTATTATTTCAATCATTATTAATAATAATATTAATAGGATTATGGTTATTATTATTGTTATTATTAATATTATTATTAATATTATTATTATTAGTAATAAAATTAAGTGAATTAAAAACCTGATTAAGGAAAAAGCTGATCATAATGCAGAAGAAGGAGAGTTAGGGCAAAAAGAACCAATTCTCCATTGTTGTTAAGGAAAAAGCTTCAATCCAAGGTAAGAGGGGAGAATGGATTTCGATATGGGTGAATTAACATGAGAGGGTAGTGAGATGTCCTTTCTCTCGTGGGAATTTCTGTTTGTTCTTGTTCATTGATCTGATTTCGTAACCTGGTGATGTTTCTTGTGATTACTGTCATTGCTGAATATTTTTGGTCTTGTGTTGGATGAGTGAATCTAGAACTGATCTAAAATTCGTGTGAAAAGTTATGAACACTGTGGTGAAATTATGACAGATGTTAGATCTGAGAATTAAAGGTTTAACAGTAATCGAAATTAGATCTAGTAAGTAGAATCTTGAAAGAGTAGAAGATAGGATTCATTGGAATCGACTAAAATCTGAGTTTTAGGATGCATGGAAGGGTAGGATGATGAATCTTGAGTAGAAACTCGTGAGAATGTTGAGATTTGAGTTTTTTGATAGATCTGCTAATCATACGCGTATTGGGGGTGTCAATACGCGTATGGGGGACTTCCCAAGGGGTTGTACGCGTAGCAGACGTGCCCTGTCCCCAGTGCCAACATGACCATCTGGTGATACGCATATCATACACATATGGGCCTGGGCAATACGCGTATGGGGGTAGTCATATGCGTAAGGGAGTGACTTTGAGGGGTTTTGGGAGGTAAAAGCCTCTGGTCGTACGCGTAAGGTAGGGCTGATACGCGTATGACAGCAGGCAATACGCGTATGGACCTTGTTGGTACGCGTATGGACAGTTTGGGATGACTTTTCCCCAATTTTTGTGAGTTCTGTCCAGATGTCGCTTTGAACGCAATTCCGTTTAGTTGGTAGGATTAATATGACTAAAATGAACTCAAGGAAGATTAGTAATGACCTAAGTTGAGAGAATGTGAAATGTTATGTGTGTGTCCTTATGGGTGTGTTTTGATGAGGGTGAGCCGTGATTATTGAATGTGAATAATCTTGTGCGATTAGGTAAATTTGATTCCAAGGCTGACGAAGGTATCTTCCTCGGATACTCTCAGTCAAGTAAGGCCTATAGAATATACAATAAGAGATTACTTACCGTTGAAGAGTCTGTACACGTAACATTTGATGAATCTTATCCGAGAAATGTCGAAAAAGGTAGTGTTGTTCATGGTGCATGTATATCTTCAGAAGACATACTCAAAAGTGTCGAGCTGGGAATTGATCAACCCGACCTAGCCAAAGTTGAGGAGGAAAAAGATGACCGCCATGAAGAAACTGAGGTAGTTCATATGTTTGATAAAGATGATCTTCCTCCAGCTTGGAAGTCTTAAAAAAACCACCCTATCGACAATATCCTCGGTGATATATCAAAGGGGGTGATGACTCGGTCTAAGATAAGTAATTTCTGTTATCACTTCGCTTTCGTTTCTCATATGGAACCTAAAAACCCGAAAGAAGCCTTACTCGATGAACATTGGTTCTTATCTATGCAAGAGGAACTTAACCAGTTCAAGAGAAATGAGGTTTGGGACCTTGTCCCTCCTCCACGAGGTCATCGAGTAATTGGCACCCGATGGGTGTTTAGGAACAAATTGGACGAAAACGGGGTAATAACTCACAACAAGGCGTGTTTAGTCGCGCAAGGGTATAACCAAAAGGAATGCATCAACTATGAGGAGACTTATGCTCCGGTTTCCCGACTCGAGGCTATACGCCTTTTACTTGCCTTCGATTGTGCGGAAAATTTTAAGCTATTTCAAATGGATGTAAAAAGTGCATTCCTTAACGGCTATATAAATGAATAAGTTTATGTTGCCTAACCTCCAGATTTTGAGTCTCATGAATATCCTGATCACGTATACAAGTTAAAACGTGTCTTGTATGGACTCAAGCAAGCCCCTAGGGCTTGGTATGAGTGCCTAAGCAAGTTTCTACTTGATCAAGGGTATTCAAGAGGCAAGGTCGACACAACCCTCTTCATTAAGCGTCAAGGAAAACACTTAATTTTGGTGCAAATTTATGTTGATGACATCATATTTGGATCAACTAACATGAATCTCGTAAGAGAGTTTTCTAACCCAATGCAGGGTGAATTCGAGACGAGTATGATGGGGGAGCTCACATATTTTCTTGGGTTACAAATCAAGCAGCCTGAGGAAGGAACTTTTGTAAGTCAAACGAAATATTGTCTTGAGCTTCTCAAGAGGTTTGACATGGAAAACTCCAAAGCCATTGACACACCAATGCCGACCTGTGCAAATCTCAATAGAGATGAAAGTGGTAAGGATGTAGAGGTAAAAAGATATTGAGGTATGATCGGCTCTCTTCTTTATCTTACCGCCTCTAGACCCGATATTATGTTTAGTGTTTGCATGTGCACTAGATATCAATCTTCTCCTAAGGAATCCCATCTAAAAATAGTTAAGCGCATACTTCGATACCTTTCGGGTACTCCAAAGTATAGGCTATGGTATTCCAAAGGAAACGATTGTTCCTTGGTTGGATTCTCCGATTCCGATTTTTTCGGGTGCAAATCGGATAGGAAAAGTACCAGTGTTACTTGTCACTTATTTTCAAACTCTTTGGTTAGTTGGCATAGCAAGAAGCAGGTTTCTGTTGCTTTGTCAACCGCCGAAGCGGAATACATTGCCTCCGGTAGTTGTTACGCTCAAGTCCTATGGATTAAGCAACAATTGCTAGATTTTAATCTCAATCTTAAGCGTATTCCGCTCTTTTGTGACAATACGAGTGCCATCAATCTTACCAAGAATCCCGTGCTGCATTCACGCACTAAGCATATCAAAATACGACACCACTTAGTTACGGATCATGTGGAGAAAGGCGATGTGGTTTTTGAACACGTTGATATTAAAACTCAACTAGTTGATATTTTCACAAAACCTCTTGCTACTGAGCCTTTCTTTCATATCCGACGGGAACTAGGTATTCTTGATATTTCGGATCGTGTTTAGTGAAATTTATTGCATATCTTTTATATATCTATGTCTATATCTACTTTGATTATCGGATATCTAACAAATTGAAGATGTTGAAAGTATATGTGTGTGTTCATCTAGCTATATTTGGAATGGAGGTAATATCTTTCCTCAACTATCTCTCTCTCGATACTCATGTTCACAAAATGCATCGAATTGTCATATATGTCGTATTATATGTATGTTATCTCTTTGAATGCTTAAAATGTGTTTTGGTTGGTTATCTATGTCTTTATGTATGCCTATATGATCAAAAATGTCAAAATCTGCTAGTTTTACCTGTATGAGTCGACCTATACAAGGTCCGGTTGACTCACAAATATGTCTCCAAAATTGAAATTTGTTCGGGTATGCTCAG